CAGTGAGCCTGGAAGGGCACTTACTCCGCAAGGCCGGGCCTGAGCCCCCGCGCCGGGCGCCACGAGGGCTCCCCGGGGCGCCCGCAGGGCAGGGGGCAAGGGAGGGAGGCAGGCTCGCCCTCATACCGCCGTCTCCCCTTGGCTGCCGCTGCTGAGCCGGTGGTAGAAGCGCCGCCAGGACTGCAGGGTTTTTCCGGACCAGATCCAGAAGCCGGTGGTGATGCCCACGATCATGGTCATGAGGTACTTGATCATGAAGACGGTGAAGTCGGGGCTGGCGGGCGCCACGTGGCCGGGGCAGGGCACGGCGTAGGTCTTGCAGGTCTGCAGCAGCCAGGTGCGCTCCCAGGCGGGGCGGAAAGCCTGCTCGTAGAAGTAGCAGGCCAGCACGATGGTGGCGGGCACGGTGTAGAGCACGCTGAAGACGCCGATGCGCACCATGAGCTTCTCCAGCTTCTCGGTCTTGGTGCCGCCGTGCTTCATGATGGTGCGGATGCGGAAGAGCGACACGAAGCCGGCCAGCAGGAAGGACGTGCCGATGAAGAGGTAGACGAAGAGCGGCGCCAGCACGAAGCCGCGCAGCGAGTCCACGCTGTAGAGCCCCACGTAGCACACGCCGCTCAGCAGGTCGCCGTCCACCTGCCCCATGGCCAGGATGGTGATGGTCTTGACGGCCGGCACGGCCCAGGCCGCCAGGTGGAAGTACTGCGAGTTGGCCTCGATGGCCTCGTGGCCCCACTTCATGCCGGCCGCCAGGAACCAGGTGAGCGACAGCACGACCCACCAGATGGAGCTGGCCATGCCGAAGAAGTAGAGGATCATGAAGAGGATGGTGCAGCCCTCCTTCTTGGTGCCCTGCGCCACGGTGCGGTAGGCGTCCTCGGCGAAGCGCTCCGCGCAGGCCGCGCGCTCCTGCAGCACGAAGCCGGCCACGTGCGCCACGGCCACCATGAAGTAGCAGCCGGCCAGGAAGATGATGGGCCGCTCGGGGTAGCTGAAGCGCCGCATGTCCACCAGGTAGGTGAGCACGGTGAAGAGCGTGGAGGCGCAGCACAACACGGACCACACGCCCACCCAGAGGCGGGCGAAGCGCACCTCGGCCTCCTTGAAGTACATCAGCCCGTCGGGCCGGCCCGGCTCGCACGGCGCCCCGCAGTCGCGCTCGCCCAGGAAGCGGTAGCCCAGGTAGGGCGGCACCTTGAGCTGCCGCGGGCACGAGAAGGCGAAGCCGGCGGCGGGCGGCGGCGTGG